ACCCTCAGGGTTATAAAAGTCCCTGGTCCCTATGCACCACTCAAGTCCACCCAGCTTGGAGTAGCTTAGGCCAGAGGCCAGAAGGTCCTTTGCATCCTTGTCTTCCTCACGTTTCCGGCAGCTCTATGGTGAAAGTGAGCAAGTGTCAGCTTCTGAGTGGGGTTTGGGAGACCTTTGCAGTGGGATCAGATGAAACTAGGATGGAGTATTGGTGGATGAATGGACTGTGGGTGGGTCAAGGTTGGTTGGATGGATGGATGGATGGATGGATGGATGGATGGGAGGAAAGTCTGAGGATAGATGGGTAGGTGGGTGTATATGGGTATGCATGGAGTGTGGGGTTGGTGGATGGATGGAGGGGAGTATCTGGGGATGGATGGTGGGTGGATGGATGGAGGAAATGTGGAAAGGGATGGGTAGATAGACAGGTACATGGCTGTATATGGCTAAATGTGGTATTTAGGGATGAGGTTATAGACAGAGAGGATGTGTAAATGGATGGATAGATTGATATAGGTGTATATGAGGATGGGTAGATGGATGGATAGATGGATGGGGTGTGTGGGCATGGATGGATGGAGGGTATGAGTGGGAAGGAATGCAGAGATAGAAAGGTATGTGGGTGTATATGGGGATAGATAGATGGAGAAGCTATATGGAGATGGATAGGTGGAGGGGCAGCAGCATTAAAAATGGACCCACCTGAAGGAATAGGAAGGGCTGCCCTGCAGAGGGACACCAAAGAGACAGAGCACGAAGAGACAGAGTTTGCTCCAGTAGGGATACCGTTTGCCCTGGTGGCGAATGAAGCCACTTTGAAGGTAACCCTCTTGGAAGTGGGAAGGGTGATGTAACCCCAGCAGGGTTAGAATGAGAGACAGTAGCAAAAGGCCGAAAAGAGCCCTGGCCTGGGATTGGCTGAGAGGCTTGGTTAAAAGAGGGGAGCAGTTTTCCCTGGAAGAGAACAAAGGAGAGAGAGGGGGTGAGAGACAGGCTGGAGACCAGGGAAAGGATCTCCCCACGGCCATCTCTCCGAGAGCTCCTGGCAGAGTCCTGCAGAAGTAGCAGCAAGAGGCATTGGAGAAGAGCGCTGCACTGTGTCCTGTTCTCCCTCCCTTCCCCTCAGAGCCGCTCCGGGGCAGGACAAGAGAGGAGCTGCCTGTGAGGAGACTCCAAGCCTGGGAAGACCCTCCTGCAAGCTCCTGTGTGGCTGGGTGAGTGCAGCAGGGGAGGGGGACACAGGGCCAGGGCAAGAGGCTGGAGACTGCCCAGGTTTTTTCCCCTGTGAGTGGGAAGGCACCGGGAAGGGGCTGCATTTCCTGGGTGTTGTGAGGCTGTGCTGGGCAGGGGAAACTGTTACAACCTGCAGCCCAGACACTGCTCCCTGCTGAGCCAGGGCCGGGGTCTGGGCAGGAATCAGCTCCCTTGCAGGGACTGCAGGGGAGGAGCCACCACCTGCTGCACCAACACTCCTGGAGCTTGTGCGAAGGACACCAGCACCAGGGACCACCTTCAGATCCTGTGCAGGGACACAGACAGTCCTAGTTCCTGAGTCACCCCGCCAGGAGCAGTGCACATGGGGTCCTCAGTACTCACTGTACGAGTTATAGACTGTGTAAATAAGTTATTGATGGTTTATTACTTGGAGTATCAATGTATTTATATATTGGTTCCTTATTTATCATGGGTAATTTGCATACCTTCGCCTAGTGTAAAGTGTATCCAAGAAGCATTAACCTTTAAGCCACCATAACCAGGTCATGCGGTGTAACATTTGTTCTATTGCACTGGTTATATGTTACCTTGTAAATAATTAAATCCTGTAAATAGTTTTATAACAGTCTGCAAGGTTATTTAATTGTAAGGGGAGGCTCTCCACTTGGGGACCCTGCAGCAGCTACCCAGGGAGCTGAGCGGGGCCACTGGCTACTGGGTACCCACTATTCAGGTGAGAGCGCGAGTAGTATCACGCTCACAGTTACAGAGGGTTTGGGGTGGAAGGATGGATAGATGTTGGTGTATGTAGGGATGAGTGAATGGAGGGAATGTATGGGAAGGGGTGAAGGGATAGAAAGGTACATGGGTATATGGGGATAGATGGGTAGAAAGGGTGTGGGATGGAAGGATGTGTAGATATCAGCGTATATACAGACAGATGGTTAGATGGATGGATAGAGGGTGTAAGTATGGATGCATGAATGGATGGATAGAAGAAGCGCAAGGGAGATATCCATCCACCCATCCATTCATTCGTGCATCCATCCATCCATGGTCATAGATGGATGGGCAGAGTGTGTGGGGATGGACTGATGGATAAATGGAGGATATAGCAAGATCCATGGAGAGATTCATGGATGGATAGAGGAGGGATGTGAGGAGATGGATGGATGGATGCAAGGTGTAGGATGGATGGACGGAGGAGATCTCTCCCTGCCCTGCAAAGCGAGTGGTGGCTGGGGGTGAGAGCTGGGAGCTTGGTTGCCTGGGTGCTATCTGCAGGCTATGAGGGTAGTGGGGTCTGGGTGGATCAGGGAGAGCAGGAGCCCGGACACCTGGGTTCTCTCCCTGGGCCGGGGGCTGTGGGCTTGGAGCAGACTGCCTCAGGTGCGACTGGTGAACTCTGGGGCAGGTGGGGCAGGTGGACCGTCACACTGTATCATCCAGTTCCAAATCTTTTAAAATTTTATTTTATCTGTTCAATTTTTGTTTGGTTATGACAACAATGCTATCAAGCACAACAGAGATTGTTTATGTTTCTCAAAACTATAACCTTCCCCCAGCTTCCTGGCTGCAAACCCCCCAGTTCCCAGCCAGAGTGCCCAGCCAGTTGCAAACCTCTCCACGCCCTCAGCACCCAGCCAGCTTCGCCCCCTGCCCCGCTTCCTGCCCCGCACCCATGCCCCTGCAAGCACCACTGACCTCACAGACTCCAGAAGGAAAGCGAGCCCAAGACTAGCATTGGATGACTGAGGGCGTCAGGCCCCACCCTTTCCCCTCCGGGCAGGGTTGTGGTTTCCCATGGGTTCCTGGGAAACTGCTCTTTGCCCAGGCTTGGGCGTCAGTACAGGCACCCCACTGCCTGCTTAAACAAGTGGTTATTGCCATCCATTCAAACTGTTCAGGTGTTTCTACTGCTCATGTGCCACTTGGGCAGTAAGGAGATCACCCCAAGGTGCTTACTGCACATACACAACTTTTTGTTGTGTATGCTTAGTGGGCGAGCATAATCATTGATTATGTTACAAACAGATGTAGGCAAGAAATAAATATGATTACTTGTGTTTACATTGTTAATTCAACTGGTGCTGTTTCGGATCCTTCCAATTAACAATACTATTACTTTTATTTAATTGTTCAGCTGATGCAGTTTTTGTGTGTTGAAACTAGTGGGGCAGTGCCCAAACATGCCCTATTGGCCATCCGCCCTGCCTTACACCTCTCCCCACTGGGCTGGTGCATGTCTCTGGTCATGTTCATCCCCTGCCAGTCGCGCACAGTCCCTTCACACCATGCTCAGTGTCTCCAAAATATCTCCTTCATCCCTGGGGCAGGGTAGGAGCCACTGTGGCTTCGCCCTTTCTACCTCCACCCTCATTCAGCACCCCATCTCCAGCCTTCCTGGACCTCCAGCAGGTGCCCAGCTCTGTTCCCACACACCCAGAATCCTTGGGGAGGAGAGACAACAGCCTGCCCAGCATCCCACCTTTTCTGGAAGCCTGGAGCCAGGCTTGAGGTACCTTCCTGGCTGCCAAAGGGAACCCAAGCATCCAGGCTCACCCACCCTGACTAGCTGTCTAAGAAGACTGGGAGGGAATCCTGGCGCCTGCGTTCCCTCCAGCCCCTGGCCCTCATTCCCCTCCCAGAGAACCCAGGTGTCCAGGCTCCCAGCCCCCTCAGCTCTCACAACCTCCCCCTGACCCTACTCTGCTCCCAAAGATCCCAGGCATCCAGGCTTCCAGTCTCACTGCTGTTACCCAGGGCCCCACTTACCTTCCAGAATTGGGGCAGAATCCAGGCGTCGGGCTACCAGCCCCTGCCCCTGCCTGCAGGGTTACAATCCCCAGCTGTGTGCCTCATGGGTTACTTCACTCCTGTTTCCTGTCTCAAGGGGCTGTGCAGTGGGAAAATAAAACTGTTCTTCCTGTGTTGGCCAATCTCCAGCCTCCGAGGAACTCAGAGCCCAGTGCGAGCAGAGAGGACCAGGGACACCTAGTAGGTAATGGCTGAGGGTAAGGGGGCTCTGGACACCTGGGTTCTCTCCCCACTCTGGGAGGGGAGTGAGGGCTGGGGGGTTAGAGGAAGTGGTGCTGGGAGCCTGGACACCTAGGTTTTCCCTTGCAGGGGGTGGGCTGGGGAGTGTGAGCAAGGGAAGCCTGGTAGCCTGGATGCCTGGGTTCTCTCCAGCTCTGGGAGGGGTGTGGGGACTGGGGGGAGAGAGCAGGGATCCAGGACACCTGGGTTCTCTCCTACATCAGGTCAGGGACTAGGGACTCCATGGGCTAAAGGTGCCAGAGACCTGGGTCTTATGTCAGCTCCATGGGGGGAGGAGGTATGTGGGGCAGGCCTTAGAGGGCGTGAGAGTGGTGGGATAGGAACCCCTGGGTCCTATACCAGCTCTGGGAGGGCAGAGGTCTGGTGAGGTAGAGCACGGTGCCCGGACACCTGGGTTCTCTCTGAGATTGGGCAGGGGAGTGGCACCTGTTTGGGCACAGCAGAGTGGGGCTAGGATCCTGGATGCCTGGGTTCTCCCTCAGCTCTGGGAGGTGAATAGGGCTTGGTGGGTGATCCCTAGAGTGAGGCAGCCCTGACACCTGGGTCCTATTCTCATGGGGCCGTGGCTGAAAAGGTAAAGCTATTCACGTTGCCTCCTTCACAAAAGAGGAACTGCTGGTTGGTTGGGCTGAGCTGGCCCCTACTTCCCCTCCTCTGCCTCTCCCCCTTCACACCACAGCTGCTTTCTAACTGCCAGTTCTCACACCCCACCCCGAGCAAGGGGAGAACCCAAGTGTCCTGGCACCCAACCCCTCCCCCTTCACCTGGGCCTGCACCTGGATGCAGATCTCAGATGTCCCATACTCAAGTTACTTGCTGAGGTATGGAGGATGGGGCTGAAGATACTGTGACCCCCAGGCAGGGAAGGATCAAGCAACCATCTCTCAAGCTCAGTACAAAGGGCTGAGAACCCAGGTGTCCTGTTTTCCCATAGCCAATGGACATAGGAAACCTGGGGGCTCCTGGCTAGAGGGTCTTGCCCCTCTGCTCAGTCTGACACCTTGATGGGTTGGACCCCATGAACCTGAGAGGCCTTCACTTGCCTTTGGAGTGGAGAACATGGATCCCTGCAGGGGATTTAAACCTGTGCCTTCCTGGCCTGGCAGGGGCAGGACCTGGGTGGAGGCCTCAGCCCCCAGCTTGACCTAGGGCAAGTCCAACAGTGGTGTTCATGGCTTGGCAATGGGTATGATCACTGAGTGAGAGATGGATCCTTAGGCTGGCCACCCTACTGTCTGGTTTGCTTCAGAAGGTACTGTGCCTTCCTGGAGCAAGGGGCTGGAGCAGGGGGCTGCACTAGGGGGCTGTGCCTTCCTGGAGCAGGGGACTGGGACATCCTGAGGGACCTACTATCCCCAAATTTCTATGATGCCCCCTTGGGGCCTGGAGACATGTGGTGAACAATCCGTCTTCTTCAGGTGAGGACAGAGCCAGGGACAGCTCCCACCGGCATGGAGACCTCAAGCCCTACAAGCTCCCCAGACACTGGCAGCCACGACAGGCTTACGAGGGGCATTCACATCTTCAGCATGATCATCTACAGCATTGCCTTCTTGCTGGGTGTGACGGGAAATGGGCTGGTGATTTGGGTCACAGGCTTCCACATGAAGCGAACAGTCAACACTGTGTGGTTCCTCAACTTGGCCATCGCAGATTTTATCTTCACCTTCTTCCTCCCCTTGAGCATCACCAGCATAGCTATGCACTTCCACTGGCCATTTGGGAGAGCCCTCTGCAAACTCAATGGGGGATTGGCTTCCCTCAACCTTTATGCCAGTGTCTTCTTCCTCACAGTCATCAGCCTGGACCGTTGTGTCTGCGTGGTGTTTCCTGTGTGGACACAGAACCATCGTCAGCCCCGCCTAGCCTCACTGGTGGCCTTGGGCATCTGGATCCTGTCCTTGATCCTTTGCATGCCCTACTGGTACTTCCGGGAGATAGATCATGATGACTCCAAGAATGTCACCTACTGCTATAAGGAGTTTGACACAACTGGTGAGGCGGCCACGGAGGAGGAGTGGAAGCGGGTGATCACCTCCAACAGCCGAGCTACTGTCATCATCCGCTTCATCTTTAGCTTCATCATCCCCTTCTACATCATTGTCATCTGCTACGGGGTCATCGTGGCCAAGCTCCTCACCAGCCAACTGGCACTCTCCAGCAAGCCCTTCAAGATTATTGCTGTGGTGATCGTGGTCTTCTTCCTCTGCTGGTTCCCCTTACATGTCTTCTCCTTCCTTGAGATGGATGACCTGCCTAAGTTTAGGACAGCCGTCCACATCGGCATGCCATTGGTTTCCAGCCTGGCCTTCGTCAACAGCTGCCTCAACCCCATCCTCTATGTTTTCATGGCTCATGACTTCAAAGAGAAGCTACGACACTCACTGTTCTTGGCCTTTGAGAAGGCCTTCACTGAGGATGCCCCCATAGTGGCTGTCCAGACTCAGTCCACCATGAAGTCAGACTCCCAGACCTTATAGACTCCTCCTCCAGGCCTCTCCCATTCCCACTATCTCTGGGGTAGGAAGAGAAGTTGTCAACCAATAGACCTTCTCCTGCTGCTTCATCTCTGTGTTCTCCTGCAGCTTAATCTCCATGGAGATAGTAACAGTGGCCTGGTAGGAATTGTCCTAGGTCTCATCCTTGCTTTTCCAGGAAGAAACTTTGGTGTTGAACCTTTTCAGTTGACCAATGGGCTCCATCTGAATGCTGATGGAATTTCTTACTACTATTGGATGTTTCTTCCAGCCCCAGCCCTTTCAAGCTACTTCCAGCCTCTACATATGCCCCTTTGATGTTATTCCAATGTTTTGTTCATTAGCTTGATGAGACCCCATGTTCTGTATTAGGTGAAGTGATTACCATATTTCCTGACATATAACCTGCAACTGTCCCTCAAAATTAGCTACTCGTGGTGCATTTGCTTGCATATTTCATGGGCTTTACTGGCCAATGGTTTCTCATGTAATGACCCATCCTGGGATCAGCTGCATCAGAGGTGTATTCTACCAGGCAGAGGAACTTTGTGGAGAAGCCTCTTTGGAGGCCTTGTTTCCTTTTTCCTTGAGATGGGTTTGGGATCCATTAAGTCTTGTTAACTGTTGATGGAATAAAAGCAGTCAATAACAGTGAGTTTCTGATGGATGTCTGTTCATGCAACCAAGTGGCTAAGACAATAAGGAAGGTGCAGAGAATCCATGCGGTAGTTATGGGGATGGGGATGCCTGGATCCCAATGTCTCACAGTCCTTGCCTCTTAGCCCTAAATCATTGGCCAGCTGGGATGAGTCCAGATAGCCACACCCCTCAGCCTCCCAATTGGCTGGGTAGGGTCATCCGTGCTCCCATTACAACCCAGTTGGGCCAATCCCCCAACACCATCCAAGTCTCAGCAGCCAAGGAGTCACTTCCCCTTTTTCATTTTTAGGGAAAACTCAGGGAATTCCCATTACCCATGGTGATTCCTTATTGGTGTCTGGAGCAGACTCAGGGAGGGACCCAAGCATCCAGGTCCCTCCAGCAGTAGTCAGAAGCCAAATCAGGCTTCCTCTTCTTCTCTGAGCAGAAGAGTTTTAGGAGACACCAAGAAAAAGATGGAGGAGATGATGGAAGTGGGGAAGTGAGAGAGAATCTCCATGCCATGGTCTTGGCCATATGTTGCTCAGTCACATGGGTCTCAGCAATGTAACAGACCATAGGATCATGGGACATTTGAGCTACAAGGGACCTTATGAGGTTACATCTAGTCCAGCCCCTTGATCACAGCAGGATCACCCCTAACTCAACAATCCCAGCCACGTGGCCATCCAACCTGTTCATCAAGATCTCTAAGGATGCAGATTCCACCACATCTCTGTGTAATCTGGTCCACTTCAGGGAGTTCCTTCCCATCTCCTGCCTCAGTTTCCCCTGCTGCAGCTTGAAGCCCTGTTGCTCCAAGTCCTGTCCCCCATGGTCATAGAGAAAAGCCCATCTCCATCCTCTCTGTCATCCCTTTCAGGGATTGGAAGACTGCAATCCAATCCCCACCTCAGTCTTCTCTTCTCCACATTCAGTGACCCTAGTTCTTTCAGCCTGGCTTCATCAATTGTCCCTATCAAAGCATGGTGGAAACTCTTCTCCTACTGAAAGGTGCCCACATCTGCAAGAAGGCAACTTGGAGTGGAGATTCTCCAACTTCAACTGAAGATGAAGCCATGGCTTCAGGTGGCGGGGTGGAGGGAGGTGTAATATGGGGAGACCCTTGTCTCATCAGCCTTGTTGCTTCCAGGGATCAGTGAAGTTGTGCTACAGGTGATCTGATACCTGGCTACTCAGCCCAGTCTCTGGGTGATTTTTTTCATGTTTTAGATGGTTGTTGTGAGGGGGTTTGGACAAGGACAGATCCTCAGAGGTCAAAAATGGATTGTACCAACTGTGGTCTCAGCAGAGGTGAGGGATTCATGATGGAGTCATCTCCAGGGGTCAACTGACTTGTTCTTCTCCATGAATCTAATGGACCCTGTTAGACCCTGACTCCATGCAGCACCCAACAACTAGAAAGACAATGGTCCAATTGCCCATGGATCCTGTTGCTCATTAGCCAGAGCAGAGCAGGGAGCAAACACAGCACACACTGCTTGCAACAGCTTTTTGGGTACTATATGGGTACTTTGCATCAGTTTCTCACCAGTCCCATGGGACAACCCTGCCCACCGCGAGACAGGGAGGCCCGAGTGAGGGAGATTACTTACCATCCATCAAAGTTGACCTTGTAAAGGAACACCTTGAGAGGATGGATACCTTCAAGTCAGCCGGTCCTGACCATTTACACCCAAGGGTACTCGAAGAGCTGGCAGGAATCATAGCTCAACCCCTGGCATGGATCTTTGAGCACTCTTGGTGCTCTGGTGAAGAGCCCAACGATTGGAAGAAGGCCAATGTGGTGCCTATCTTCAAAAAAGGGAGGAAAGTCAATCCAGCAAGCTACAGACACACCAGACTGACCTTTATCCTGGGCAAGGTCTTGTAAAAGATTATCAAAGAGGCCATCCTATACAGGCTAGCTGACAGCAATATCCTGAGGCATACCCAGCATGGGTTTGTTGTGGGTAGGTCTTGCTTGACCAATCTCATTTCCATTTATGACCAGGTGACCTATCACCTGGACAAGGGGGAAGAGATTGATGTTGTATATCTTGACTTTTAAAAAGCCTTCAATCTGGTATCCCATGATCACCTCTTGGCAAACCTGGCTAACTGTGGCCTCAACCTCACCACGATCCGCTGGCTGAGGAATTGGCTCCATGGCAGGAACCAGAGGGTGGTGGTTGATGGAAGTCAATCTTTGTGGTGCCCTGTGACCAGTGGGGTCCCTCAGGGCTGTGTCCTGGGGCCCTTACTTTTTAACATCTTCATTAATAAGGTAGATCATAGTGTCAGAAGTGGGCTGGTCAAGTTCGCCAATGACACCAAACTCTGGGGTAAAGCATCCACACCTGAGGACAGGAGGGTGATCCAGCCAGATCTTGAAAGGCTCAGGAAATGGGCGGATGAGAACCTGATGGTGTTTAACACGGAAAAATGCAAGGTTCTCCACCTTGGGAGGAAAAACCTGCAGCATTTTTCTAGGCTCGGCAGTGCTACGCTGGTTAGCACTATGGATGAAAGGGACTTGGGGGTCATGATTGACCACAAGATGAACATGAGCCCTCAATGTGATGCTGCAGCTCATAAGGCAAGGAAAATGCTGGCTTGCATCCATCGATGCTTCTCAACCAAATCCCGGGACGTCATTCTCCCCTTGTACTCGGCCTTGTTGAGGCTTCAGCTGGAGTACTGCGTCCAGCTTTGGGCTCCACAATTCAAAAAGGATGTGGGGAAGTTTGACAGAGTGCAGAGAAGAGCCATGCACATGATCAGAGGGCAGGATAACAGACTTTATGATGACAGGCTGAGAGCTATGGGACTCTTCAGCCTGGAAAAGCACAGGCTCAGGGGTGATCTGGTGGCTGCAAATAAGTTTATTAGGGGTGCTCAGCAGGATCTGGGGAAACATCTGTTCACTGGAGCGCCCCAAGGGCTGACAAGGGCAAACGGTCACAAACTCTTCTGCGACTGTTTCAGGCTGTACATAAAGAAGAACTCCTTTACTGTCCGAGCCCCCAAGGTTTGGAATAGACTGCCACCAGAGGTGGTTCAAGCACCCACTTTGAACGCCTTCAAAACACTTTTGGATGTTTAGTTTGCTGGGATCCTATGATCCCTGCTGACTTCCTGCCCCTGGGACAGGGGGCTGGACTCGATGATCCTCTGGGGTCCCTTCCAGCCCAAATGTCTATGAAATCTATTAAATATATTCAGAATGGACACAGCTTCGGGCCAGCTCCCTCACTGATAGAATACGTGGAGCCGCCCTAAACAACAGTTCTTTGCAATATTTATGCACTTTGGTTTATACATGTTAACATTTACCCTGCCTTGTTCCACCTCTGGTCCACCCATTTTTCCTCCCATCTCAAGCTCCACCTCTCTTTACTTCATTAACATGGAATTGCTTATGCATTTCCTTCATTTACATGCCTCTGTGCTAAGAGCGCACGTGTAAGACCATGAACTCAGGCACTCTTGGTCACTTGCTGGTTCTTTCTTGTTCTTTCCTGATTTCAGCACCATCTCCAAGGTTTGGCTTCTGTCTTATCTCCTGATACTAGCTGGTGGGTTGCATCTTGTTCTTCTTACACAATGTACTCTAACACTACTTTGTTTAGAAAACCACTTCCTTAAACATTTACAAAGTTAGTTACTTTTCATATATCGTCCAGCCTTGTGACCAGCAGCTTTTTGCTGAGACACAGGAAAAACCCTTCATTCAGCTTTACATTTAGCACCCCCAGATTTCATATCCTTGCCCCAACATCTAAAATCCATTTAATTACCCTAACAGACCCACTCATCAGCTTTTAGCAGCATCACCCCCATCCCTTCCTTTAGTCCACAAAACCCTTCCTTTCTGCCCACCCTTCCTGGCACCACATGCAGTAGATTGTTGCTGACAGAATCTCCTGCCCACTCTGCCCCCCAAGCCAGCTGGTCTCCAAACTGGTGGTGCTCAGCTGGGGTGAGATGGACGGATGGAAGCAGTGAGAAAGGGAATGCATGGATGGAAGGCTGGAATGATGGAATGGGATTGATGGAAGAAGGGGTGGATTGAAAGGTGAAAGGGTGTGTGGGTGGATGGAGACAAGGGAGGGGTGGAAGGCTGTGGGTATGGCTGGATGTGTGGGTGTGGAGATAGAGGGAGGGGTGGCAATGCTCAAGCTGGGCCACACCGGCCCATCTGCCCTGTTCCCCACCCCCTGGTCTCACCACAGGGCATCATGTGCCCAGGAACTTTCTCAATCCGCAGTTGTGACATGCAGCAGATGAACCACTGCACATGTGTAGCAGAAAGCCCCCTTTTCCTCTTGCCTGCATTTGCTCTCCCTTCTTTGGATATGTTTCTCTTTTTCTACCTTTCTTCCTTCCTCTCTCTTTCACTTTAAGATAAGGAATTGTGTTTTAAAATGTGTGTGTGCGCATTTTGTGTCTCCCCTTGTAGTTTGGTATTTTTATCTATTTGTGTGCCATGGCATTTGTAGCTTATATTTTATACTCCTCACCTTTCAACTTTCAACTAAATGTGTTTTAGTAAGTTATACATTGTAACAATGTTAACAAGGGCAGGAATCAAACTGTCCTTCCCTGTATCAGGCTGGCCCCTGAAAGAGCGAGTGAATCAGTGATTGAATGTGTAACAAGGTAGCACACAGCAATTAACACCTGGGAAGCTGCAGATCAACCAAGGGAAGAACTCAATAGAAGACAATGTAACAACCGGGAAATCTCTAAACGTCACTGATCAAAGGCTAGAAGCCCTGGCCTGAGTTATTCAGCCCAAAAGTTGGTCCCCGGTGTTGATTATCTCCAGATCGACCACTCCCAGAGCCCTATTCTAAATTCATCAATGGACTCCCAAACCTGCACGTACATGCGGACGACCCCTGGGGCTGACAGATGCCATCCAGTAGCCACCGAGGGGGGGGGGAAGTCCCACGAGGGTCAATGACCCCTGGATTGGGCAAACCTGAAAACTGGGGAGTCACCAAAGTCTGCCAAGGACAGATAAAAGGCAGTGAAAAGTGACCCTCAGCGGCACCCTCTTGATCTCCAACTCGACCAGACCTGTCCAGCCAGAAGGACCAGCCGGCGACCCCCTTCTAGAAGATAACACCACGCTGAAAGAAGCCTCAACGACAGACTCCAGCGCTTGTAGGATAGGTATACCTGACTCTGTAGCCTGCTACTGTGTGTGTGTATGTGTGTGCATGTGTGTGTGGGGACCAGCCCCAAGGTTTATGATTACAGTGTTTCAGTCCGCCTAATAAACTAGAATTTTAAGGATCCCGAGTTGGACATTTGTAGCCAACACATGCTGCATCCCATTTCTGAGATGCGTGATGCCACGCAGGACATGTGAGTTTTATTCCTGGCTATGGACTGAGATGTGGGAGTAGTGGGTGAGAGAGGGTGTGGAGGGGAGGAGGGGCCTGGAACCTTGGTTCTGCCCTGAGCTCCAGGAACAGTATGGGGTCTGTTGGCTGAGAGCCATGGATTGTAAATCCACTCACCTGGCATGTCTCTAGCTCTGGGAGGGGAGTGGGGGCTGGGGGAGTGAGAACAGGGTGGGTTACAAGCCTGGATGCCTGGGTTCCCTCCAGCTCTGGGAGGGGAATGTGTACTGGGGAACAAATCCCTAAACTAGATTGACTGGGGAACAAATCTTCTCCCTGGTCTTCTCCAGGTGAAGCCATTCCTGTTCTTCCAACCCTTCCTCCTCCTCCTCCTCCAATATGGTAGGTGTTGAGTTACTTCTTCCCTTTGTGTCAGTCCCCCACAAAAGTTCCCCCCCTGTCTTCACTTCCCTGCCCTTTGCAGCAAGACTGCAGTGAAGCAATGGTTTATCTCAGCCCTGTTTCCTTGCCATTGGCTGTTCCTCTTTTATTTTGGGGAAATAGTCATGTTGGCTTATGCTTTGCTTTGGGTGCATTTGCCTGGGACTGACTTTTGCCCTGTGGCAGCTCCCCCGGAAGCTGCAGCCATGGGGAACTGCCAGTTTTGATCCAAAGCAAGTAAGAGTCATGGGGAAACGGAGGCTGGAGATAGGGTAGGTGCCTAGACAATGGGCATGGTAGTGATGGGAGGGGTCAGGCAGTCTGGGGTGTCCTGAGCTGTCCTGCACCTCAGCTCCCGCTTCAGGGCCCCAGTTTTGACTGTAAGGGCCTGTAGCAGGAAAAAGAAGGGTAGGGGTGATTGGAGGGATGTTAGGGGGGTGGATCGTGTACTGGGGGGAGGGTCCTGACTAGGGTCTCTAACTTCGTAGTTTCATAGGGTTGGAAGGGACCTGAGCAGATCATGAATTCTGACCCCCTGCCATGGCAGCAAAAAGTACTGAGGTCAAATGAACTTGTAGTTCACTTGGTCAGCTCACTCCATGGTCAGCAAAGGAATGTCACTCAAATAAGAGGTGGTACAGATGGAACCAGAGGCCAGGGACTGTGGTCTGGTGGGATAAAGCTGGAAGAGCTGGGACACTTGGGTTCTCTCCCAGCTTGAGTGGGACATAGTGGGTTTGAGCAGAGGGAGTGTTGGGAAACTAGGACACCTGAGTTCTTTCCTACTTGTGGGTGGGGAGAGGTGTATAGTATGTTAGGACTACACCAGACTCCAGGGTTACACCCTCAGGTCAGAGAGGGCATTTCACAAAGTGGTGGCAAGAAAATGCCTTGGGGGAGGAGATTCTCCATCTTCCACTGAAAATGAAGCCATGGGCTTCAGGTGGGGGATGGAGGGAGGTGTAATATGGGGAGACCCTTGTGTCAATGAAGCATGAAGTTGTGCTACAGGTAAGCTGATATGTGCCTACCCCAGCCCAGTATCTGGGTGTCTTTTTCATGTTTCAGTTGGAGGTTGAAGGGTTTTTTGTCAGGGAAGGCTCCTCCAGAGATGAACGATTAATTGCACCATCTGTGGATGCAGCAGGGGTGGTGGATTCATGATGGCATCAGCTCCAGGTGTCAACTACCTCGTTCATCTCCAGGGGTCTAATGGACCATTCATCAGTTCTTACCAGCATCACCCCCATCCATTCCCCTCCTCCTTAGAGCTCTTCCTTTCTTCCCACCCTTCCCAGCATCAGATGCAGTAGGTGCTTGCTAACAGAAGCTTCTGTCCTGTCCCCCCTGAGGCAGCTGGTCTGCAAACCAGTGATGCTCTCTCAGCTCAGGTTGGATGGGATGGGATGGGATGGGATGGGTGTGTGGTTGGACAGGTTGAAGAGTTTGTGGGTGAGTGGGTGGATGGATGGATGGATGGATGGATGATGAGCTAGGATGTGGGCAGTTGGATGGAGGGATGGACAAAAGTATGTAGATTTTATATGGGGATAGTGGGATGAATCAAGGATCGTGTACTGAATGGGTGGGAAAATGGATGCATGTGTGAGGATATAGGTTATAAGGGGAATGTTGGATGGATGGATGATGAGCTCAGGGTTGGGGGGGGATGTATGGATTTGGGGATAGAGGGAGGGGTGAACGGGCTCAGGCTGGGTCATGCTAGCACATCAGTCACCCCCCACCCTCCCTGCCACTGGTCCCACTGCAGGACATCACATGAACAGGAACATCCTTCATCCCCAGTTGTGACACTCAGTGGCCAAGGCAGTGCACATGATGCATTCCAGGTCCATGATATGCATGACACCACCAAGGATACCTGGGTTCTATTCCTGGCTGTGGACCATGAGGCAGTGGGAGGAGGGGACTGGATCCTGGATGCCTGGGTTCCCTCCAGCTCTGGGAGGGGAGTGAGGCCCACAAGGGTCACACTAAACTGGAATAGACTGAGGACAAATCTTCTCCCTGGTCTTCTCTTCTCCAAATGAAACCATTCTATTTCTTCCAGCCCATCCTCCTCCATCATAGAAGGGAACCTGGCAGGTGTCGAGTTACTTCTGCCCTCTGTGTTGGTGCCTCCCAAAAGTTCCCCCTCTGACTTCGCTGCCTATTCCAGCCAAATGGTAGTGAGGCAAAGCTCTTGACCAGCCCTGGCTCCTGGCCAGGGGATCCTCCTCTCCTATTTCTTGGAAGTGATTGTTAGGGTGACAATAATTTGAATTATTAAGAAGCACTGGATTTGCAGCTGAATACAAAGGCTTTACCTGTGGCCTAGCAGAGCTGCTGACCCCAAGGCAGAATGATATCTAAGCCAGCCATTTGCTTATGCTAAGTAACCATTTTAACTGTGTCAACCATTTTCTGAGGGAAAAGCAGCAAGTGAATCTGTGTGAGTCTGTGTGCTGTGAACCAGCTACAGCGAGGAACGAGATAAGTGTCAAATGGCGGGCTTTCACCCCCAAAGCCCACCCCTATCTGTGGTAGGGGCTTGTCTCTATCGTTCTATGTGTCGTCAGTCTCTGGTGCTCATCGCCTGTCTGAGTGGTTTTTTCCTTTTTTTCTTTCTTACTCTGTCTTCTGCACCAAGAAAGTTTTTACACCTTGGCTAACAGGCCAAAGTCCACCGTGACGTCTTGCTAGACTCCCCCACACGTCCACGCTCTCGTCTGCCACGACTTGTTGTTATGAGAGTAAATAGAATGCTGGAGCATGTGGATTTTGACGCTTTCGCTCTTGCACTCTGTCTTAGTGTAGGGAGGGCTCCCCCAGCCCCTACACCCTCACCTATTCCACCGGGTGTTAGTTCAGTTTCCTCGGCAATCTGCCTTCAAGCTGTACAAAATGCTCTGTGGATCTCTAAATCTGGCCAATCAATAGCCCCGATGGGCCTGGTTGCACTTCACCTCGCTTGGAGCCTGGCACAGACCTGCCATTAATCCTAGCCAGTTCCTCTACTAGCCTGTTGTCCTGATAGTTGCAAATGCACTATCGATCTGAGATGACTTCCCTCTCACTATAACAAAAGGAGAACGAAAACACACTGGCACTTCTACTGCCCTTATATTCACAAGTTTAAGGTACCCTGTTTCTTCAGCCCTGCTGTTTGGATCTTTACAGCACCTTCTAACTGCCTGGGGCAGTTTCAGTTTCTCTCTGGGTGTTTCCTTCAAGGTTTCCTCCCCTGGCCGCTCCCTCCACAGAGTTGCTTCTCTTAAACCCAGTCTCTGTTGCTTTCTCAGTGCTTGTGGCTATCCCTGCCATCTCTCTGCCTGAGTCACTCCCTTCCAGTTACTGGTGTTACCTTTTTGCCTGTCCCTGGTCTCCCTTTTTTCCTGGAGTTCTGGCTGACTGCTCCTCCCCTCCTGAAGCACCGGGCAAAGAAGGAGCCCTGCAGAGTTCTTTGCAACTCAGGTAGGTCCATTTTACTTCCCTGGGGCTCTTCTCTTTCCTCACACATCCCGCTCCTCAAGACACTGCTAGGTGCTTGTATCTTTCTTCTTTTTTGGTTCACATCCGGGCTTTTGACATCTCTTCCCTCTTCTCCTTTGCTTGCCTTCTTCTCACTATACATTTCACATCAGGACAGGAAGTCAGCCACCATGTTCAATCTCCCTGGCCTGTACGCAACACAGAACCAAAATGGTTGGAGTGCTGGCGCCCGCTGCATAATGTGAGCATTGTCCGTCTTTGCTGTGTTCAGCCATCTGAAGGGTGAATGACATGATCAGTTATTAATTTAAATTCATGGCCCAACAAATAGTAGTGGAAGTAGTCATCCCCTCCATGAATGGCGAGACACTCACATTCAACTGTGCAGTACTTTGTTTCATGCTCGCTCAGCTTCCTGCTGGTGTATGCCACCAGTCATTCCACTCCGTCAACCTCCTGGGACAAAACAGGTCTCAAAGCTAACGCTGATGCATCTCTTTGCAAGGTGAAAAGTAGCAAGAAATTGAGGGTATGAAGTAATGCATCCTTGCACAAGGCTTGCTTGAGGTCTTCAAAGGCCTTCTGAAGAACATCATGCCATTCAATCTGGTAGGCTGTCTTGCCCTTGGTAGCATTAACTAGAGTGTTGCTATCTCCACGAAATGCGGTATAAAACGGCTATAATTACTGGCGAGCCCCAGAAAGGCCCTCATCTGTTTCTTATTCTGATATTCTTCTGATATTTTCTACTGGCTTGAACTTTGTCTGCCAGTTGCCTCACACATCTCTGCCCAACCAGGAATCCTAAATATTTAGTTTCAGTTTTTCCCAGCATGCATTTCTTAGGGTTGGCTGTCAAATTTGTAAGACTGCTCTTAACGCCCTCAAATGCTGCTCCCAGCTCTCTGTATAAATTACTATATCATCAATATAGGCCGATGCATAACCCATATGGGGAGCTAACAACCAATCCACTAACCTTTGAAATGTGGCTGCCACCCCATTAAGTCCAAATGGCATCCTTTTAAACTCAGATAGCCCTCAGGGTGTCCCGAAGGCTATTTTAGGTTGGTCCTCTGCTCTAAGAGGTTCCTGCCAGTATCCTTTTGCCAAATCTAGTGTGGATATAAATTTCACCTGTCCTATACATTCCACTAGTTCACTAACCTGAGGCATAGGGAACACGTCAAATTGGGTCTTCACATTCAATTTCTGAAAGCCTATACACAAACGTAAGGTTCCATCCAGCTTAGGAACCGTGACCAATGGGCTACGCCATGGGCTGCGCGACGGGGTAACAATCCCCTGAGCTAACATCCTTTCTAATTCTTTCTTAATCAGTTGACAATGATGATGAGGAATCCTCCTCCATTTCTCCTGGGTTATTTGTGTCTCTTGCATGATAATTTTATGTTTTACCCCTAAGGCTTTCCCTGGATTTTTGCTGAAAACATCATCAAAGTCTTTAATCACCTGCCACAATTGTTTTTGCTGACTCTCATCTAATTGGCTCCCCATGGGAACCTTGTTGATGGTTCCTATTTCCCCAGGGCTTTCCCCCATCTGACTCCCATACTCCTCTGAATCTGAGTCAGGGGAGATAAACAAGCCCTCAGGTTCATTCCACACTTTTCCTTCTTGGCCCCTGGGTGCAATATCCCATAATCTACCGGCCCTACTCTTCTTGTCACCTCAAAAGGGCCCTGCCTACATGTCAAAAACTTGCTAGTTGAGCTCGGTAGTAATACCAACACCTTTTGGTCCGCCTGGAGTTCCCTTTCTTTTGAATTAACATTATATCTTTCTCTCTGCTTGTGCTGTACTCGCCCCAAATTTTTGCATGTTACGTTCCTCCCTATTTGCAGGTGACATTTTAAGTCCTTCAAATGATCTGATGCAATTTTCCCCGGCTCTGGTTCTGCCTCCCATCCTTCTCTCAGCATGTCTAATACACTTCAAGGCCTGGGCCCGTATACCAGCTTGAATGGCAAATACCCTAAAGATGCCTGTGGGGCATCTCTTATTGCAAATAGCAAGGTGGGTACCAACAGGTTCCACCTCCGGGGTTCAGCTTGAGCACATCTACATGACATCCCCTTCAAGGTCCCATTAAACCATTCAACTAACCCAATTGTCTAAGGGTGATATACTGCGGTTTTTAAATGACAGATCTGGAGAACCTTACACATGGTGCTTAACACTAGAGACATAGAATTCGACCCTTGGTCGGTCACTATCTCCTTCGGAATACCAACCCTTGCCACACATTTCATAAGCTCCTCTGCTACCTTAGCCCCATGACCGCCCACAGAGGTATGGCATCCGGGAACCTGGATGCATAATCTATCGATACTAAAATTAACTGATGGCCTGCAGAGCTCCATGGTAGTGGAGCTATTACGTCTAAAGCAACCTGTGCAAATGGTTCCCTCACAATGGGCATAGGTTGTAGTAGTACCCTCAGTGGTCTATAAGTGCTCACCTTTTGACATAGCAAGATATGTAAATGAGTGAAATGCATACTCAATGCCATGCTAATGAAGCAAACAGTAAACAGAGGCAGAGCTTGAGATGGGAGGAGTAATGGGTGGAACAGAAGGTGGGACGGAGGTCGAGTAAATGTTAATAAGTATAAACCAAAGTGTATAAATATGGGAAAAAAAACTATTGTTCATTGCAGCTCCCTCTATTCTATCGGTGAGGGAGCTGGCCCGAAGCTGTCTCCATTCTGAATAAAGCTGTAGTGAGCAATGTGTGCTGGTGTTTGGTCCCTGCTCTGCTCTGGCTAATGAGTAAAAGGATCCATGGGTAATTGGACTGTTGTCTCCATAGCCGTTGGGCACCGCATGCAGTCAGGGTCTAACAGTGATCATGTTATCTTATTCATTTTAATTTCAGGTCCTGGGCCTGACTTTTGCCCCAAACACTTCCTCCAGCTGCAGCAGCCATGGGAAACAGCCAGTCTCAAATGGCTGGAGATGAGGTAGGTGCCTAGACAGAGGGCATGGGGGTGATTGGAGGGGGCAGGTAGGCTGGGGTGTCCTGAGCTGTCCTGCATCCCAGCCTGCATCTTGCGCCTCCAGTCTGAGCTGGAAGTGTCTGTAGCAGCAAAAGGAAGTGAGGGGGGTGGATTGAGGGCTTTGGGGGTGAATAGAGGACCTGGGGGATCCTGCCTGGGGTCTGAGACTCCATTCAAGCCTTCTTTAGGTGTCTGACATTGGTTCCTTATTCCAGGTTCATTTCCAAAGCAATTCCTTACACAGTTAAAGGGTGTCAGTAATGAATGACATGGACTCAAGAGTTTCATCCAAAATGCAGATTTACTAGTAATGTGTCAACTACATAGCTAGCCCTGAAAAAAAGACCTGAGAGTAGGCTGGGATTACAGGGAGCAAGCCTTTTCAGGAAACCCCAAGACACATGTCTGTGACACCAGATACACTTCTGGGGAGAAGTGGACACGCCGGAGGGCAGGGAACAGCTGCAAGCAGACCTGGACAGGTTGGACAAGTGGGCAGAAAACAACAGAATGCAGTTCAACAAGGAGAAATGCAAAGTGCTGCACCTAGGGAGGAAAAATGTGCAGCACACCTACAGCCTAGGGAGTGACCTGCTTGGTGGCACGGAAGCGGAAGGGATCCTAGTGGACTCCAGGATGAACATGAGTCAGCAGTGTGACGAAGCCATCAGAAAAGCCAATGGCACGTTATCGTGCATCAGCAGATGCATGACGAATAGGTCCAAGTGTTGAGCCCCAGCTCAAGTCTGGGATCGTGCCCGGTATGCAAAAGCCAATAAAGATACCAGGGGTGAAATTATAAAGATTTATTGCTAGCAATACAAGGTGCAAGCAGAATAATTTCACGTAACAAGCACACAGATTTTTAATTCTAAGCATCTTTTATACAGGAGTATTGGACCTTCATAAGCATTCTTGTTTGCTAATTGGTTATAAGGGAGTGATGCAAGGAGTTCTTTACTGAGCATGTCTCTACACCTGTGTTTTAGCTATGTATCTCATTTCCATACATGTATGTTTCATTAGCATACTTTCTCCCCACCCAGGGGTGTGATTCTCAATATTCAAATCAGCTCTTTGCCCTAGTCCTCTGATTCTGCTTTTGTTTTCAAGCCTCCTTTATCTAAGACTGTCTCCTCCTTATCATTGCAGATGGGCATTAGTTACATAACAGAGACTTTTGCTTGGGCTATGTGTAGTGGTTTCTAGGTCAAACCTGACAATAGCACTGTCTTAGGGTGGAGTTAATGAATTTACTGTACCCTAATACAGATATACTGGGTGCATCTGCACAAGATGCATTACTGCACATTAGACTGATCTAATGCACAGTAAAGCATCAGCGTCTACATGTGTGCAGCAATTACTGCCCAGTAGATTAGTCTAATGTGATGTTTTCTAGTACCTGTAGACAAACTAATGTGCCAAAGCGCACATATAGACACTGACCAGGAGCAAATTGCTCCTCATCAGCCTAGGCAGTCGGGGGCTATAAGGGGTAAGCAAAGCTATCCTGGCTGCTGGGCAGCTGCCTCCCAGCCACATGGAGACTGGGACCCAGAACTAATTGGAGAACAATCTTTCCTGCCTATGCAGGGGGTCAGACTCGATGATCTGTTGAGGTCCCTTCCGACCCTAACATCTATGAATCTATGAATAAGTCTCAGCAGGGTGCTGCCCCACCCAGAGCTTGGTTTTTGTGTGCCAGTCTGCCCACTGATGGCCTCCAGGCCTATCTGCTAAGGTAGCAGGGCACCTGGTGGTGCCTGCTCCTTTACAGGTGCAAGTAGTCTGATAGGCTGCTTAGAGGTGGCACAGTGGGCTAATGTGAGACTCACCTGATCAAATCAAAGCTGTTGGGAGTCCAAGAAAGACCCTGTAGTGCTGCAAATGGACTAAGGCCCATAGCAACCCTCCCTTATTCAACCTATAGTAAGAACAGGACTTGATGGGTGAGCAATTAAGGGGGGAGGGAGGGGTTGATAGAGACTGAGCCAGAGAAGAGTCTGCAACTGCCAAGGGGCATCACAGCTAACCCTGGGTCACAAACATGCCCCAGCAGAGTATATAGCACTGAATAAGGAGCTGTGTTTAGGCTAAAATTACAGGTGGAAATCCTTTTGGGTCACCCCCAAAACACATGGCTCTGTCATAAGAGGAATCTTCTGAAGAAGCCTGGACAGAGTCTTGCCTGACCTGGAGCTCAGTTTTTGTGTGCCAGGCTGCCAACTCAGGGATAGATTTCATAGACATCAGGGCAGGAAGGGACCTCATGAGATCATAGGGTCCAGCCCCCTGCCCAAGGAGCAGGAAGGCACCTGGGGTCAGATCACCCCAGCAAGATATGCATCCAAGCATTTCTTAAAGGTATCCATAGTAGGAGCTTGCACCACCACTGGCGGCAGTGGTGACATGTAGGACATGCACCCCCCTGAAAGCACCAGTGCACCCCCTGTCAGGCCACACTCCCTGTTTAGCCGGCAGGCAGGGGGGCAGGCGGGATCACCAGTGCCCACCCTACAAGGGCTGGCCGGGGAGCAGGGCCACCGGCAAAAGCAGCCGCACCTCTTCCAGAAGTGGCTGCAGGACTTCCAGAACCAATGTGGCTGCTTTTTGGTGAGTAAGATTGGCTGCCAGATCCCACCCCAGGCACTGATTGATGACACGTGCCCCCCCCCGACTCAAGAGGCACCAGTCACCCACGAGGGAGGAGTCTATTCCAGACTCTGGAGAATCAGACGGTAAAGAAGTTTTTCCTTATGTCCAGTCTAAAGTGTTCTTCCAGCAGTTTGTGACAATTGGGCCTTGTCTTCCCTTGGAGTGCCCTGGTGAATAGGCATTCTCCCAGTTACCCATGCACGCCACTTACATACTTATAGGCTGCCACCAAGTCACCCCTGAGCTTCCGCTTCTCCAGGATGAAGAGTCCCATGTCTCTCAGTCTCTCCACATAAGGCCTGTTCTCTTGACCTCTAATCATGTGTATGACTCTCCCCTGGACTCTCTCAAGCTTCTTCAAATCCTTTCTAAAATGTGGAGCCCAGAATTGGATACAGCACTGCAGCTGCGGCCTCACCAAGACTGAGTGGACCAAGTACTGTGGGAGGATGACTTCTTGGGTCTTGCTTGAGATGCATCGGTAGATGCAAGCCAGAGTTTTATTTGCTGTGCTGGATGCAGCATCGCGTTGGTGGCTCATATTCATCTTGTGATCAGCCATGACCCCCAGTCTCTTTTGATCGTGGTGCTAGTGAGTGCAGCACTGCTAAGCCTTTAAGTGTGATGTGGGTTCTTTCCGCTGAGGTGCAGCACCTTGCATTTCTCCTTGTTGAATGTCATCAGGTTTTGATTTGCCCACCTTGCAAGCCTGCCCAGGTTGACCTGAATTGCCAGCCTATCCTCTAGCGTGACCACAGTTCCCCATAATTTGTTGTTGTATGCAAACTTAGCCAGTCTGCTTCTGACACATGAATCCAGATAATTTATGAATATATTAAAGAGGACTGGTCTGAGTACTGAGCGTTGGGGGATGCCACTGGTCACCATGTGCCACGTTGACTCTGTTCCATCGACTATCACTCTGGGTCCGACCACGGAGCCAGTGCCTCAGCCTTCGGACCACAAGGTTGTCGAGGCTGCAGTCCCCCAGTTTTACCATGAGGACGTCAGGGGAGACCAAGGCAAAGGCTTTTTTGAAATCTAAATATATGACATCAACCTCTTCTCCTTTCCAGGTTATATGTCACCTAGTCATAGAAGGAAATGAGGTTTGTCAAGCAAGACCTACCCACAACAAAGCCATGTTGGCTATGTTTCAGAACGTTGCCTTCCATTATCCTCTTGTTGATGGTTTCTTTGATGATTTTTTCCAAGGTCTTTCCAGGGATTGAGGTCAAACTGATTGGCCTGTAGTTCCCTAGACTCACTGTGGGTAGGGAGGGTGGTTTGTGGGGTGATGCAAAAGGATTTCCACCCATAATCCCAATCCAAATGCAGTTCCTTATTCAGTGCTATATACAGAGTGCACAGGCCTGGGGTGGGGTGGGAGGCATCGGTGGGAAGACTGGCATGCAGAAAGCAAACTTCAGGTGGGACAGCGTCCTGCTCAGACTTATTCAGAAGTGTCCCCCTCTGTTGTAGACATTGATTTTGGGACAATCTGAAATGGATTTTACCCCATAAATACCGCATATTTCAGATCTCTTTGGGGGGCTTTGTACTTGATATTTGTTGTTATATTAATAAGCATTTTTCCTGAACTCTTTAGCCCGTGTCATTCACTACTCTCTATCTTTAACGGTGTAAGGACTGGCTTTGGGAGAGAAACTGGGAACTGGAATAAGGAACCAACTTCAGGCTCTGGGATGCAGAGATGTTGTGTGAGACCATGGCAGTAGCAGTGAAGCTGAGCTACAGCTGCTCTATGTGGCTTTTCCTCTCCAAGGCTCCCCCTGCTCTTATCAGCCATACCCCAGCCCACTCCCAGGGTCCATAGAGGACCCAGGAGTCCTGGCCCACAGCTCCTTCCTCCCAGCTGGGACAGATGTCCAGGCTCCCAGACCCCTTATCTAATCCACCAGACTTCACTCCCTTCCCAGAGTACGGGGTGGAACCCAGGTGTCTGGGCACCCAGAGGGAGACGTGGGAGGAGAGAGGGGTGCAGATGGTTAGAGCAGGGCTGCAGGGAGACAGGATGCCTGGGTTCCCTCCCCAGTCTTGGGAGGGGAATGGGGTGCATCGGGTTAGACACCCCCCGCCATGTTCCCTCAAACCTAGACCTGGGAAGAACCCAGCTGTCCTGGCCAGTGCTTGGAGCCCTGACAAAGCCCATGCAGGAAACACAAGTATGTTGTGTGTGGGGCAGGGCAGGACCAGGGGGAGAGGAGGGGAGAGATTGTGCTGTGATTGGTATTTTTTCCCTGTCCTCTAAACATGCACCTACCATAGCTCTCCTGTCCCGATACCTTTCAGAAATGGACACTACTGAAAGCTTTCCTGCAGACCATGAGTCCGTATCAATATTTAAACTCGGACCAGGATCTGACCACAGCTTTCAAGATCTATGAGTCAGTCGAGTCATTTTTCTGCTCCTGGGATTTCCAAGAAGCAACCAGTCAAGCGCAAAAAGAGTTGGAATCATTGGAAACCACCATGCTGAAGATTGCTGTCACGGGGGAAACTGGTGCTGGGAAATCCTCTTTCATCAATGCCATCCGGGGGGTGAGACCTGGAGAGACAAGAGCAGCTGAAACTGGGGTGAAGGAAACAACAAAGGAACCCACACCTTATGACTGTCCCCGCTACCCTAACGTCAAATTCTATGACCTGCCTGGTATTGGATCCATGAATTTCAAGCCAAAGACCTACCTGACTAATGTGAATTTCAGTACCTATGACTTCTTCATCATTATTAGCTCAGAGCGGTTTCGATCCAGCCACGCTGACCTGGCCCGGGAGATCCAGAGGATGAAGAAGAAGTTCTATTTTGTGCGGGCCAAAGTCGACCAAGATTTAGAGAATGAAAGAAAAACCCATGGTAATACCTACAGTGAAGATGACACTCTCCAGACGATCCGGGAGGACTGCAGGAGACAGCTGCAAGTCATGGGAGTCTCCAGTCCAAAGGTTTTTCTTCTCTCCAACTGGGAAATAGAGAAGTTTGATTTTCACCAACTTGAGGACACCCTAGAACAGGATCTTCCCCATCTGAAGAGGCTGGTGTTTCTGCTGAGCCTGCCCAACTTCTCTGAGGAAATCCTGAAGAAGAAGAGAGCTGAGCTGAAGAAGTTGACCTTTCTCATAGCCCTGGCCTCAGGTGGTGCCGGTGCCATTGCCATTCCTGTTCCCAATGTCTCCCTGAAATGCAATATCCAGCTCCTGCTGGTCTCCACAATTGCCTTCTACAAGCACTTGGGCCTGGATGAAGAGTCCCTGAGCCGTACAGCCAGATGGGCCAACCTGCCTGTGGATGAGCTGAAGGGAGTGATGAGATCATCAAAAATTGAAGACGTAACGTTTCACTTTATACAGCAAGCCTGGATCCTCACAGCAGGTAATATACTTCAAGGGTTGATAGGTCTGATTGGTATGCTAGTATTCGCCGTGTGCTCTTTCATCATCACCGTCTTCCAGTTCTTCCAGGTTGTGGATGAGCTTTATGCTGATGCCCTCCGGGTGCGTGCCAAAGCTCTGGGAGAAGAGAACCCAGGAGATTCCTCTGGGGCTGTGGCTTAGGGCAGAGAGTTGGGGAGCAGGATGGCAGCAGGATCTCAGGATTAGCTCAGATCTCAAACACCTGGGTTCTCTCTCCCAAGCCGATCTGTCCTAAACCCCCTTACTTCCCAGTGCCAGGAAAGGAGCCAGGTGTTCAGGCTCCCAACCCCCTCCTCCCCTCCTCCACATTGTTATAAACCTACTCACTCATTTCCCAGCTGGGAGAGAACCCAGGCATCCCAGCCCCCAGCCCCACTGCCCTATGCCTCCAGCTCCCACTCCCCTCCCAGAGCTGGAGAGAGCCCAGGTGTCCAGGTTTCCTGCTCCCCCTGCTCTCACACACCATCCCCCACTCCCCTCCCAGAGCTGGAGAGAATCCAGGCGTCTGGGTCCCAGCCCTGACCCTGGAGGTCAGTCAGAGTTTGCTGTATGTGCTCCCTTCTCCATTATCGAGGATAGTGATGTGCATGGTGTACGCTGACAACCACAGCAGCATTATAGAAATACTGCACAATGAAGCATGCTATTAAATGCTGCTCACCTCACTTGGGATTAATGCTGTGAGTGGTGTTGTGCCATGCCAGGGATTTTTTGAGGAGTGGGGATGGCAGAGCAGGGTTTCCCCCACAGCTGCTGTGCCATGCCTGGTGTAGAGAAGCCTGACCCTGCCTGTCAAGTTGGATGGGTTCTGCTCTGAGCATTCAACACCTATTAGGAGTTTAATGGGTCCCCAATGTTCCCTTGCTGTCCAGACAGCTGGCAGCAAAAGTCCCCAGACTTTTCCCACCGAGAACCATAAGGAACCCCTATGGCCCTGTGCCCTGTACCTCCAAAGCATCACTTTTCAGCTGCCTGCAGTGTAATTCTTTCCCCAACACCATTAATTTCCACGCTGGCTTTATGTGAACCTGATGAGTGGAGTTCTGTGAACCCGATCATGAGCCTTAAGTGCACTTGCTTTATAAATAGTGGGTGAGTTTTGTCACCATTCATTCCCTCACTTGCTATGTCTCAACTGCTCAGACAGCTCAGTGTTGGTGGGCAGGGGGATTTGCTGGCTTGGAGCATTAGGGGCAATTACCATTAGTCAAACTTTTACCTGACTGGTTTTGAAGTTGTTTTGTTCTTGACCACTGCCAAGTACATGCTGCCAAACACCTTCCCCCACTCACACTGTCTGACCTATCAATTGACCTATCAGTCACTCAGCTGTGCTCCTGGGCATGAACGTCAGAGGGCCTCCTGAGGCTGGGGGGGCACGGCGACTGCGTGTGGACTGCATGTCGAGTAGGAAGCTCCTGTAGGTGGCCATGGAGTTGTTGGCAGAGAGGGTTGGGGGGTGGTGAGTGCCAACCGGTGATCGGCGACCACCCACACATGCGAACAGCTGTGCCGGTGGTGAGGGGGGGTGGTGACGAACGCTGACTGTCCGGAGGCGCTGCCAGTAGTGTCAGCAGTGGCTAATCTCAGGAGGTGCACATGCACCTGCGTGCACCTCTTATGCATCGCCAACGCTCCTGGGGGATCTATTGGGTTTGAGGGAGGGGAAATTTGGGGTTCGTCCATTCAGTCTTCTGCTCAGTGCCTGCTTTTTATCCACCGAGTGCTTGACGGATTTCAGGGGTAATCCCTAACAAACCTAAAACCCCAAGCTTTTGCAGGAAGGGTGTTTCCAGGAACCTGGGGTTTGTAGGAATTGAAATGTAAAGAACAGGGCTGTTATAATACTAATGACCCTATTTAAAAGCCCTACCTATTCAACCCCCTTGGCGCAAGCAGGTGGTGGGGAGGCGGTAGGAGCCAGAGAGGGCTGAAGTCTACAGGTTTTCCTTTGATTTGTGTTTATGGGGAGTGTAATGCAGCAAGGATATTAAAATACATTTCCTATCACTGATCACATTCACTCAGCACCCAGAAAAATGAAGAAATTCACAGGGTGCTGACTCATGCATATATTATAAGTGCTCGGAGAACTTCAGCACCCTGCTTGGGAAGAGGGGAGGTGGTCATGAAGCAGCTCTCTGCTCCTGTCTGGGATGGGGTATGTCCAGTCAGAAGGCCAGGATCTCTTGTTAATGTGGGGTGGGGGGAGCTTGGCTGGTTGGTATGTGGATTTGGTATGTGGTATGTGCTTGGTATGTGGACCCCAATGTGGAATCAGAAAAAAAATAAATGCCTTAAACTTTGATCATACGAGTTATAAGATGACATAACCGCTTTGTGGAGAATTGCTGGCTCTGTACAGTAGAACAGATAAGAGAAAGTGTTTGTTCTTTGTAACTCCTCTGCAACTGCTTCGCTCACCGCGGCCTTAAGATAGCAGAAAAAAGTATGTACAAACTCTGATCTCCAGAGGCAAAAAGGGAGTGTTAGTTCTCGCTTTGTGAGCTAACCTTGTCTCCCCCATAATTCCCATCCTGATAACAACAAAGCAGCAATGAGCTAGTGTTTGTAGCTGCTTTTTCTAGCAAACTCCACTATATGATGATGAGTTGTAGCGATTTGTTAAAAAGTATATAAGCCTCCTGATTTTGCTCTTGAGGGGAACCCCTTCCAAGTGCTTGGGAAATCCATGTCACTTTGGGGTCCCCCCTACAGCTGTAATTTCATTTAAATAAAAGCTTCTGCTGACCTGACCCAAAAGTATGCTGCGTGTGTTTCCACAACACCAATATGCAGGTGAACAGAGACCACAAGACTCACTCCAATATGCACACGAAGAGATATATATAAGAAATTCATGGGGTGCAGATTGGTGAGTATATTATAAGCGGAGAATTTCAGTGCCCTGTTCATCGGGGTAGATGTTTGAATGAAATTTTTTTTAAGTGGATTTACACAGGAAAAAAAGTTTACTTGATGACATAGAAATAGGAACATAAAAAATAACATAAGAATAAAAATAAAGATAGGAATGAAAAGAATAAGAATAAAATAAGAATACAAAAATTAAAAACTATTGGTGGAAAAAATGCAAAAAAAAAAGTAAAAATATGTATAAAAATTAATTAAATTAATGAATGAATATAGCTGTAAATTACAGATATGAGTGGTTTATAACAAGGATTAGTAGTGTGTGGTGCCCTCTGCTGTAATTTAGTATGAAGAGATCAGCACAGTGGATTGTTAGGCAGCACCCCGTGCAGTGATTTACTACAAATAGTGCACTGAGCATTTCATGAGAATGATTGATTGACACAAAAATAACACCCAACATTTCAATTTAGGGGGCATGCTGGGACTAAGGGGGCATGCTGGGATGTGGTGGGCTACATCTCTCTTCAAAAGATAAGCATCTGTTCTCTTGCAGGTTGGCTGCTCTACGCAGAGCTTTAAACTAGTTTTGTCGGGGGGATGGAGATGCTGAAGACAGGGTGAACCTAGGAACAATGAACCATGAGCCACGAGCTGGAACAGCCCACTAAGGAGCCCATTAGGCATCAGGACAGGGGGGCACCAAGGGCACCCATTGGAGGGCTTAGGTGTCTCTGAACTAATGCCAGAAGCATAGGGAAAAAGCAGGAGGAACTCACACTCCTGCTTGCAAACAAAGAGTTTGACCTGGTTGGGTTAACAGAAACCTGGTGGGGCCCTACCCATGATTGGGCAGTGGGCAATGAGGGCTATAGGCTGCACAGATGAGACAGAGTGGGGAAAAAGGGAGGGGGGGCATTGCTCTTTATGTTAAGGAGCAATACATGTCTTCAATAAACAAGATGGGATTGGAAGAGGGGCAAATTGAGGAACAGTGGGTCAGAATACAAGGGGGTCGGGGTGAAAAGGACTTGGTCATGGGGGTCTATTACAGACTGCCACACCAGTAGGATGAGTTAGACCTGGATTTCTCGAGGCAGCTCTCAGAGGCATTACACTCAAGGGACATGGTTGTCATGGGTGACCTAAACTACCGTGACACAGTCTGGGAGGAGCAATCAGCTACATCTGCCCGTTCATTTAGGTTCCTAACCAGCATACCGGACCTTCACTTAATGCAGAAGGTATATGATCCCACTTGGCCTGGTGGGTGATCTGCAGATAAAAGGTAACCTAGGGGATAGCCACCACCAGTTGTTAGAATTCACTATCCGACGACTGATGAAAGATGGGAAACATAACTAGTAGGGCAGAAGTGCTAGACTTCAGAAAGGCTAACTTCAATTAGCTCAGGAGATTAGTAAGTGAGGCACTGAAGGGCAGGAGTCCAGGAAGTGAGATGGGAGTCCAGGAAGGGTGGGTATTCCTCAAGGGAATGATCCTTCAGGAACAAAAGGGAACCATCCCAGTGTACATAAAGGAAGGCAAAAGAGCCAAGAAACCCACTTGGCTGAGCAGAGAAATCCAGGAGAGCCTGCAGGGGAAAAGGGAGACATCCAGACTGTGGAAGCTGGGGGCAGCCACCAAGGAGGAATACACCTGCTTGGCTCGCACTTGCAGGGAATCAGGAAGGCCAAAGCAGACATGGAACTCAGGCTGGCTACAAAAATTAAAGACAACAAAAAGTCCTTCTTTGGTATATAGGGAGCAAAAAGTAGGCACAGGGTAACATAGGGCCCCTATAGGTCAGACTAGGGCAATTGGTAACAGATAGGAGGGACAAAGCTGAGCTCCTACATGAGTTCTTTGCATTTGTATACCTAAACATGCATAAAGACTTATCTCTGAAAGGAGCTATAGACAGGCACAAAAGGGACTCCAGCCCACCAACAGTGAGCTCTGACCTAGTGAAGGGGCATTTGGAGGGGCTGGATGTGTTTAAGTCAGCAGGCCCAGACGATCTTCATCCAAGCATGCTGAAGGAATTGGCCAGTGTCATAGCAGAACCACTGGTGAGGCTGTTTGAGCACTCGTGGCACTCGGAATGGGTCCCAGAGGACTGGAAAAGGGTCAATGTGGCCCCTGTTTTCAAGAAGGGGAGAAAGGATGATCTGGGTAACTATAGGCCAGTTAGCCTCACCTCTATCTGTGGTAAAACCTTTGAAAAAATTATTAAGGATCTCATTTGTGGGAGTCCAGTAGGAAAAATAATGCTGAAGGGTCACCAGTATAGCTTCATAGCAGGTAGGTCCTGCCTGACTAACCTTGTTTCTTTTTTATGACCAGGTCACAAAATGCTTAGATGCAAGAGTTGAAGTAGATGTCATCTACTTGGATTTTAAAAAGGCCTTTGATACAGTGTTGCATCCCATTCTTACAAATAAATTAAGTGATTGTGACCGATTATTACATGGTCAGGTTGGTGGAGAATTGGCTTATGAGATGCACCCAGAGGGTGGTGGTGGATGAGTCGTTTTCAACCTGGAAAGATGTGGGCAGTGGAGCTCCCCAAGGTTTGGTCCTTGGACCAGAGCTGTTCAATATCTTCGTCAGTGACTTGGGCATGGAAAGCACTCTGTCCAAACTCAAGTGATTGTGACCGATTATTACATGGTCAGGTTGGTGGAGAATTGGCTTATGAGATGCACCCAGAGGGTGGTGGTGGATGAGTCGTTTTCAACCTGGAAAGATGTGGGCAGTGGAGCTCCCCAAGGTTTGGTCCTTGGACCAGAGCTGTTCAATATCTTCGTCAGTGACTTGGGCATGGAAAGCACTCTGTCCAAACTCATGGATGACACCAAATTATGGGGCAAAATAAACACAGTGGAGGCCAGGGAACAGATTCAGGCAGATTTGGACAGGTTGGGAAAGTGGGCAAAACAGAATAGCATGCAGTTTAACAAAGATAAAGTGGAAAGTGCTGCATCACCAACATACCTACAGGCTGGGAGGTGACTTTCTAAGCAGCGCAGCAACAGAAAGGGATCTGAGAGCTGACTCCAAAATGAACATGAGTCATCAATGTAACAAAGTGATAAGTAAAGTCAACTGCACTCTTTCATGCATTAGAAGGTGCATCACGAGCAGGTCTAAGGAGGCAATACTTCCCCTCTATGAGGTATTGGTGAGACCGCAGCTGGAGTACTGTGTCCAGTTCTGGGCACTGCACTTCCAGAGGGATGCAGATAACCTTAAGAGGGTCCAGAGGAGGGCTACTTGTGTGGTTAAGGGCCTGCAGGTTAAATCCTACAAGGAGAGATTGAGGGATCTGAATCTCTTCAGCCTCTGCAAAAGAAGGCTGAGAGGGGATCTTGTGGCCATCTACAAATTCATCAGGGAGGGTCAGCAAGGAATAGGGGACACTCTGTTTAGCAGGGTGTCCCTTTGGGTTACTAGGAACAATGGCACTAAACTGACTGGGAGCAGATTTAGATTAGACATTAGGAAAAATTTCTTTATGGTGAGGGTTGCCAAAATCTGGAATGGGCTTCCAAGGGAGGTGGTGCTCTTCCCTACCTTGGGAGGTCTTTAAGAGGAGACTAGACAAGCACCTAGCTGATTCATCTGACCCCAGTGCTCTTTCCTGCCCAGAGCAGGGGGTCGGACTTGATGATCTACTGAGGTCCCTTCTGACCCTAAAAATCTATTAAATCTATGAAATCTAAACCCCCATCCTGTGTACAAGAGCCCCAGGGGTTCGATCGTATATCAGGTAGGGGGTCGGGACTGCATGGGCTAAAGGTGCCAGGAGACTTGGGTTCTATGAGTGGTCAGGGGGGTGGAGGTATGGGGGAGGGATCTTGGAGGAAGTTAGAGCAGTGGGGACCAGCCCCTGCATTTTATTCTAGGCCTGGGAGGGCAGCAGGTCTGGTGGGGTAGAGCAGGGTGCTCGGACACCTGGGTTCTCTCTGATATTGGGGCGGGGAGGTGGCATCTGTTTGGTTGGAGCAGAGTGGGGCTGGGAGCCCAGAGGCTTGGGTTCCCCCCCAGCTCTGGGAGGAGAATAAGGCCTGATAGGTGATCCCTAGAGTGAGGCAGCCCAGACACCTGGGTTCTATTCTCACAGGGCAAAGGATGAAAGGGGAAACTATTCACGTTGTCCCCTTCACAAAAGAGGAATCACAAATTGGTTTGGCTGAGCTGGCCTCTACTTCCCCTTGCCCCCCTCCTCCTCCTTCATGCCACAGCTGTGTTCTCACTCCCAGCCTTCACACCTCACCCGAAATGGGGAGACAGACCAGGTGTTCTGGCACCTAGCCCCTTCTAGCTCAATGACTCTATGATTCCCCCTTGGGGCCTGGAGGCACATGGTGAATGGTCAGTCATCTTCAGGGTAAGACAGGACCATGGAGAGTTCCCACCAGCATGGAGGAGACCCTAAGCCCTACCAACTCCTCAGACACTGGGACCATAGAGCCTCTACAAATACCCCTTCATTACCACAAAGTTCATCCATTACCTTAATGAGATACAGTGTTCTGCCTCAGGACAGGTGAAGAAGTTGCTGTATTTCCTCTCTGTCACAGGAAGGAGCAAGGAGGGGACACCATAAAACAAAAGAAGGAAATAAATGGAAAACACTTACCTGCAGCGGGATCAGCAGCACAGCGGGAGCAAGAAGGGGAACCCGCATGGCTCATCAGCCGCATCTTTATTCAATTAAGACTGGCTGATGATGTCAGCAACAAACATCAGCCGGTGAAGATAAATATGGTGGCCAACAGTGAGGAAGGGAGGAGAGAGAGAGAGAGAGAGAGAGAAGTGTGTGGAGGGTAAACAATCCCACGGAGAAGCCCAGGGAGCACGGGGTCA